TGCTGATGGTCGGGGCTGCAGGCTGGCGGCTGGGGCCTCACGAGGGGACCTCACCACTGAGGCCATGCAGAAAGCCGGCTCCGTAGAAAAGCAAACGGGGAGAAGAAATTCTGCCCACTGGCACCCAAAGATGGAAGGAACTTGGGCCCTGGGTGGAAAAGAGTTTCCCAGGAGAGTCTTCTGATTTCAGGTCGGCTTCTCACAAGGGTAGCGTTCCCACACAGGAGAGGCCCAAAGGTAAGAAGTTAGTATTAAAACATAGTCGTACTACGGCTTAGTGGTACTGCTTAGCTGCTGGCAAAAACACACAGGAAATCTTTCTAGATGGATCCCTGAAGCCCGGCCACCCAAGATTCCTTAGGTAAAGCCCTTCCAAACAAAGCTGAGCTCATGGTCCCAAACTACAGAACACACCGGAGACAAACCGCCGTGAATGAAAGGCAACAGACCCCAAAGGGGCAGGTTTAGGCACCCCCCACTGGCCTCCCCCAGCTTTGAGGATTAGGTACGTTTAGGGTCAGCTTCTCACATGGCTTCCAGTGAGTTCCGACCTTTGACCCTTGGCCCCTGACCCCACTGTGTCATCTTTTCCCCTTGGTGATGGAGTGGACCTAGTGGCTTTCCTCTAACAAGTAGAACACGAGTGGTAGCAGATGCTGAGCCCGTTCCGAGCCCTGCTGCCCTCCAGTGAGTGTGGGCAGGACTGGGGCGAGGGGCCCCCCGTGGCCAGCTTCCCAGTCAGTTTATCGAAAGGCAGATGGTGGGCAGGCCTGAGCTAATTAGAGGAGTCCTTTAAAATAAGGCCATGTACCCTGGCTGGTGTGGCTCAGTGGACTGAGCGCCAGCGTGCGAACCGAAGGGTTGCTGGTTCAATTCCCAGTCAGGACACACACCTGGGTTGCAGGCCAGGTCCCTCCGGTGGGGAGTGTGCAAGGGGCAACCACACATTGATGTTTCTCTCCCTCTCTCTTTCTCCCTCCCTTCCCCTCTCTAAAAATAAAGAATAAAATCTTAAAAAGAAGAAGGTGGCCATGCACGCCCTGTTGGTCTGAAGGAACCCCCGCGGACCACCAGCAGGACAGCGGGGGGCTGGGGGCTGGTGTACCCCTCCATACCACGCCCTCTCCGTTTTGGGGGTGTGAATAAAAACTTTACTCTCTGCACTTTCTTCCCTTTGTGAATTCTTTCAGAGCCTGTGTCACCAAGGACTGTAACATTTTGGTGGCCATATGGGGACATTTTCTATTTCTCCCTCTCTTCCAGCCTCCTGGAGAGAGAGAGGAAAGAAAGAGAGAGAAAGAAAGAAAGAAAGAAAGAAAGAAAGAAAGAAAGAAAGAAAGAAAGAAAGAAAGAAAGAAAGAAAGAAAGAAAGAAAGAAAGAAGAAAGAAAGAAAGAAAGAAAGAAAGAAAGAAAGAAAGAAAGAAAGAAAGAAAGAAAGAAAGAAAGAAAGAAAGAAAGAAAGAAAGAAAGAAAGAAAAGGAAGAAAGAAAGAAAGAGAACAGGGACCTCAGCACTGGCTGGCTGTCTCAGTTGTTTGGAGCGCCATCCATCACTAAAAAATTGCAGGTTCAATTCCCGGGGAGGGCACATACCTAGGTTATGGGTTCAGTCCCCAGTCGGGGCACGTTTGGGAGGCAACCTATTGGTGCTTCTCTCTCACATTGATGTTTCTCGCTCTCAAATCAGTAAACATATCCTTGGGTGAGGACTTTAAAAAAGAAAAGAAAACAGGGCCCTCGGTCCTACAACCGGGAGAGAGTGAATCCTGCCGACACCCTGAGCAAGCGCAGGTGATTCAACGAGGTCCAGGTGAGGACACAGCCCAGCGGGGCCACGAGCCGAGGACCCGGCCCCGCCCGTCTCTCGGCGTGGCAGCTGGCTCCGTCCGTCCAAGCCCACAAACGAGAAGAACCAGAAAAAGCAGGAGAACACGGAATCGTTGTTTCTTATTGTTGTGGCGGTAAAATTCCAATGACATGCAGCTAACACTTTAAAGTGACAATTCCGGGCCCTTTTCTCCCTCTGGGGTCTTTTGCGACCACCACCTCTTCCTGGTCCCAAACTTCTCCATCCCCCCAGGAGAACGCCCCACCCCCGTGAGGCAGTCGCTCCCTCTGCCCCGCCCCCGGCCACCACCACTGGGCTTCGTCTCTACGGATTTGCCTTTTCCAGACATTTCACATAAACAGAGCCCGACAGTAAGGGACCTTTTTGTCTGGGGTCTCCCACTTAGCAGGACGCCTCCAAGGTCCGTCCGGGTCCTGGTGTGTGTCAGTGTCAGCCTCTCATTTCGTTTTAGAAAGACCTTGTTCGTTTGAGAGGTTTTAGGTTCACAGCAGAATTCGAATCCTTTTCTGGCTGACCAATATCCCCTTGCGTGGAAATGCCGTATTTTCCTTCTTCATCGTCCATCGATAGACACTTGGGTTGTTTGCACATTTTGGCTGTTGTGAACAGGACTACTACAAACATCTGTGAACACGTGTTTATATGAACGCCTGGTTTTAATTTGGAAGTGGGGGCTCTGTACCTCGGCTTGGTCACACATTAACCCTACGCTACACGCTTCGAGAAGCAGCCAAAGGCGTGTCCAAAGCAATGCACCATTTTACATTCCCACCAGTAGTCTTCGAGATGCCGGTTTCTCCACGTCCTTGCCAGCACTCACGGCTTCCGCTTTATGGCATTTTGTTGTCTCACTAAAGCCGTTCTCGGGGGTGTGAAGTGACGTCTTACTGCGGTTTGGACTTGTATGTCCTTCATGAGGAGTGAGGTCGCACGCCTTTCCATGTGGTTTTTTTTTTGGCTATTTGTTTATCTTCTTTGCAGAAATGTTTATTCAAGTCCTTTGTCCATATTTAAATTGAGTTGTTTGCCTTTTTTTGCTGAGTCGTATTCTTTATATGGTCCAGATAGATAACCTTTACCAGATATACAATTTCCTCACGTTTCCTCCCATTCCAAAGGTTGTCTTTTTACTGTCTTAACAATGTCCTTCGATTCATATTTGCATAACTCACAGGCACAGACCTCAGTTTGGGGAAGGCCAGAGGGGAGGGGATCTGGGGGCTGGGTGGAGGGGGCTGGCCAGCCGGGGTGGGGGGGGCGGGGATGGGGACATCTGTAACAGAGTCAACAGTGGAGATAAAGAAAAAACTAATGTCCTTTGATGCACAAAAGTTCTCAGTTTGGCCCTGGCTGGTGTAGCTCAGTGGATTAAGTGCGGGCCTGCGAAGCACACGATCGCGGTTCGATTCCCAGTCAGGGCACATGCCTGGGTTGCAGGTCGGTTCCCTGCAGGCCAGTTCCCAGCAGGGGATGCACAAAAGGCAACCATACATTGATGTTTCTCTCCCTCTCTCCTTCCCCTCTTCCCCTCTAAAGATAAATAAATAAAATCTTTAAAAAAAAAAAAGTTCTCAGTTTGGTTGAAGCCTGCTTTATCTACTTTTTTGTTTGTTCATGCTTTGGTGTCACATCTAAGAATCCATTGCCAAATCCAAGGTCATGAAGATTTACCCCTATGTTTTCTGCTAAGAGTTTTATTATTTCAGCTTCTATATGAGGCTGTTGACCCATTTGGAGTTAGTTTCTGTATCTGGAGTGAGGCAGACATTCGACTTTTGCATGTGGTCATCCGATTGCCAGCACAGCATTTGCTGGAGAGACTGTTTTATCCCTCCTAAGTGACCTTGGCGCCCTTGCTGGAAAGCAATTGGCCTGGGTCGTTCGGCTCATTTCCGGATTCTCGATCCCATTCCATTGGCACAAATGTCTTACTTATGTCAGCACGTAAGCCAGGCGCACACTGGTTTTGATTACTGTAGCTTTGTAATAAGTTTAGAGGTCATGAACTGTAAGTCCTCCAACTTTGTTTTCCTTTCAAACATTGTTTTGGACATTTAGGGCCCCTTGCAATTACATATGAGGGTCAGCTTTTCCATTTCTTCACAACATTGGAATTGTGATAGAAATTGTATTGTATTGTACGTGGCTTTGGGGAGTCTTGCCATAGTAACAATCAGTTATCAAGTTTTCCAGCTCTCGGGTCCTTGCTTCCAAGATAACCAAGGAAAAAGGAAACAATGGTTGTCTGGAAAAGAAGGCATGGCCACCAGCAGTCTATTTGCTGCACTTACTGTGCCCAAGGTCAAGGCCATTAAGAAGTTCATCAGTCTGTCCTGGCTGGTGTGGGTCAGTGGATTGAGCACCAGCCTGCAAACCAAAGGCTGGCTGGTTTGATTCCCAGTCAGGGCACAGGCCTGGGTTGAGAGCCAGGTGCCCTGTTGGGACATACGAGAGTCAACCACACACTAATGTTTCTCTCTCTCCCTTCCCCTCTCTCTACAAGTAAATAAATAAAATCTTTTTTAAAAAGTACCATAAAAATTAAGCACTATTGGTACCTCAGAGAGACTCAGAGAGGTTCAGTAACTTGCCCAGGGTCACACAGTAAACAGGAGAATAAAGGAACAAAGGAACGATGCGTCGTGGGGCAGCCACAGGTGCCCGGGCTGGGCCGAGCTCTCTCTGCAGCAGCTGGGGCCGCTTCCTCTCCTCTGAGGATGCTGGCCAGGCACCTTAGGAGAGTGCAGATGAAGGAGCCTGTGGTGCGGGGTCGGGGTACAGGGACCAGGGTGGGCTATAGAGCTCTGTTGGCAGAAGGCTTCCTGGAGGAAGCAGCATTTGCTGCTAGGGTCCCGCTGATACTTTCATCCTGTAATTCCCCCACACCCCGGGTCTTTCTGTTTATGATGTGATTTCCCAAAAGCCTGGAGTTGCCAGACCTGTTCCAGAGCCAGCTGAGCCGGGCTGGGAGGGATGCTGCCAACTTGGGAGAAGTGTGGGTGTGTGAACTGGGTGGGGGCTGGCACCTCTGTACTTCTAGGCGTGGGGAGAGGGAGTCTGGGGGTGGCCATTGTTTCCTGGGAGGCCTGGCAGGTGGCAGAGGCACAAAGGAGACCTGGGCACCGGCAGAGTTGGCTCATTTGGAGGCAGAATGTCAGGCAAAGAGGGCAAAGGCGCAGTGAAGGATTCAAGGTCGCAGCCCGCACTGGTGTACGTGGGGCCGTGGGGGTGTATGTGAGGCCATGGAGCCCCTCGAGGGCAGAGGGGCCAGAGGGTAACGAACCCTGGGGGGGGGGCAGCAGCATGACGGGACTAGGGTGTGAGCCACAGGGCAGGGGCCATGGGCTGGGGCCTGGCTCCGTGCCATGGGGTGGGTGCTGCGCTTCTCTGGGTGCACCTCGGGTCAGGTCTACTGTCTATCCCCCATGGCAGTGCCTGGGAGCAGCCTCAGAGGAGCCCTGCGTCCTGGCCCAGTGCTGGCCGGGCCCCAGGGTAGGGACAGAGCGCTCCCAGGCTGGGGGAAGAGGCAGGGAGGGACCGGGCCATGCCAGGGAATGGGGGAGAGGAACGAAGAGCTTCTTGGGGGGAGAGGCCAGAACTGGGTCTGGTTTCAGGTTTTAAGAGCAACACGCCCTGCTGGTCTCCGGCTCTGGAAGCATCGAGTTCTCATTGTAGGCAGTCTGGACGCCGCAGAAAGATGCTCCGAAGTCAATAGGAAGCTCAGGAACTGGCCAGCACAGGGTCCCTGTGCTAGTGAGGGACGGGCTGTGGGACGGTACGGGGCCCATGTGTCCCAGCTTTCCGGAGGGCAGCTCAGGGCACCTCTCGGAGTCTTGGCTTCCTTATCCTCCCGGTGGGTGATAATAGGACCTTGAGCCCCAGGTAAGATGATACACACCATCACTTGGCTCCAGAAGCCAGTGCGGCTTCTCCTTGGGACCCATGCGGAATCCACTGCCCAAGCAGTAAACCCCAGCTGCCTAGTGGAGCCCCGTCAGGCCTTGACCTGCCTAGCTGCACCTTGTTTCTCAAGACACCCCTCCAGGGGCCCTTGCATGTGCTGGGTGGAGCCACAGGCTGCCCGAGCCCCGGTCAGGGAGAGCTGCGGGAGGCTGAGGGCGGGGGCAGCCCTGGAGCACCAAGGCTTGGTGCTGCTCCAGGCCAGCTCCAGGGCTGAGGTGGGCCCCTGGACTGCCCCACTCCAGCCCGGCTCCTCCAGGAAGCCTTCCAGGGGAAATGGGATCTAGGGCAGACAGCACACTGCCCCTCTGCTCTCTGGGGCAGTGGTCTAGGTGGGACCCCTGCCCCCACTCTCAGGCCTGGCTGTGGGAGTGCAGGACCTGGGTCCTCTTCTGGCCCATGACAAGATTGGACAGTCCTCACTGAGCATGCACCGTGGGCTGTGGGGAGCCCCTGTCCCCACGGGAGGGTCGGACAGTGCCAGGAAGGGCGGCCTTGAAGCCGTGGGGAGGGAGGGCATGCTTGCTTGCAGGTGTTGCCGGGGACCGCTCAGCCTCGGGCCTGTCTCCGGCATTCCTCAGAGGGACAGCCCACTGAGCACCAGCTGCTTCGTGTTCCCCAGAACAGTGACCGTAGCCTAGGATGTCCACTCGTGGTGGGTGGCCAGCCCTAAATGTTCCTGCTTTCCCGATAAGGAAACTGAGGCTCAGAGAGGAGGTGCAGCCTGCCCGAGGCCCCGGGAATGGTGCCCAGGTGCCCAGTTCCGGCCTGAGCCGTCTCATGCCATGGCCAAGACGCGGGTCCTGGGCTCGGGCCATGAGATACTGCTGAAAATGGCCCTTGTCCACATGCACAGACAAATGTAGAGACATGGACACAGGCAGACACACGGACAGACAGAGAGGCACACAGGCAGCCTCCGCCCAGCTTGCACTTGCCCCCGGCCCGCGGTGCCCCGCCCATCAGATGCTCCCCACCCCCGTACCTTGCTTTGAGACTTCGACCTGGGACCACCTCCCCGGAGCAGATCCTGAACCCTCCTCATGTTTCTGGTGCCTGGGGTACCCCCTGGCCTCAGTTTCCCCATCTACCACAGCAAAAGCCCTGTGGTCTCTGAGGCAAGGAACCCTCAGAGTGCCGGGCTAGGCCCGGGGCGGCCCTGGCCGCTGTCCAGTGCTCCTCAGTCGTGCTCGTGGCCTGGTGGTGTGGGTGGAGGAGCAGGCCTGACGGTGTGCAGGGTGCCCGTGTGGGGGCGCAGCGCCAGGCCCGGCCTTTGGGGTTACATGCAAGTCCCAGTGAGGGTGTCCGCGAGCCCCCGTGGTGCCAGCAGATGAGGGGTGGGGGCCCGAGATGGTGGGAACCCCGGCCCACACTGCCCCCACCCTGGCAGGACGGACCCCTTCGAGGACACGCTGCGGCGGCTGCGGGAATCCTTCCGCACGGGGCGGACGCGGCCGGCGGAGTTCCGGGAGGCCCAGCTCCAGGGCCTGGGCCGCTTCCTGCAGGAGAACAAGCAGCTTCTGCAGGAGGCGCTGGCGCAGGACCTGCACAAGGTGTGGGGTGGCGGGAGGCAGGCGCGGGCTGCGTCCCCGGCTCATTCCTGTCCATTTAACGGCCCTTCCCTGGTATGCAGTGGGCACGGGCACTCCCCACATTCACTCCGCAAACCTGTGAGGCAGGTTCGATCCTGCTCCCCGTGTTACCCATGGGGACACTGAGGCGCGTGGGGGTTATGTGACTTGCCCAAGGTCCCACAGCTAGGAAGTGTCGGAGCTGGAACCGGAGCCCAGGCCGCCCGGCCCGGGCTCTGAGCCCCTCATGGCGGACCGTGTGATGCCCAGGAGACGAGCTGTGCTGTCCCTGGAGATTGTCTCCAGTTCCCCAGTAGGGATTTTCGGGTCCCCCCCACCCACACCCGATCTCTTCCCTGTCCTACCCCCACCTGACCCTTGGATTTCACCTCCACCCCAGTCGGTCATCGAGTCAGAGGTGTCGGAGATCATCCTGTGCCAGAACGAGGTCTACCTGGCCCTCCGCAGCCTGAAGACCTGGATGAAGGACGAGCCGGTGGCCAAGAACCTGGTGTGCTGCTGGCTGGGTGGGGGCAGCACCCACAGGACCCCAGAAGTAGGGGACTTTCAGGTGGCCCTGGGCTGAGCCTCACCGTCCACCCTGTGTCCCAGATCACACAGCTGGACTGTGCCTTCATCCGCAAGGAGCCCTACGGCCTGGTGCTCATCATCGCCCCCTGGAACTACCCGGTGAACCTGATCCTGGTGCCCCTGGTGGGCGCCCTCGCTGCAGGTGAGGAAAGGTCCTGAGTCTCACCCCTCACCTTTCCTGGCCCAAAAGCCCTGGAAGGGGCCGGGGGCGGGGGGGAGTGTCTCAAAATTCCATCATGTCTTGCCCCTAGCCTCGCACACCCTCCCTGCCCCTCTGTGTTCTGATGTGCTGCCGGCCACTGGGTGGGTGTGGGGGCACCAGCTCCCCCTAGAGTTTCCCATTTGACACTGCAGGGAACTGCGTGGTGCTGAAGCCATCTGAAATAAGCCAGGGCACAGAGAAGGTCCTGGCTGAGGTCCTGCCCCAGTACCTGGACCAGGTAATGGTGGCTCTGCCCCATGAGCCCCAGTGTCCCACATCCCTGCCCTTGCCAGCCTTGGGAGGTTTGGCTGTCCCTGGAGCCCGCAGTGTCCCCTGAGCCCCCCCCCCCCCCCCGTCCCTCCATGCAGAGCTGCTTTGCCGTGGTGCTGGGCGGGCCTGAGGAGACGGGGCAGCTTCTGGAGCACAAGTTCGACTACATCTTCTTCACAGGCAAGGGGGGGCCCGGCCAGTGCTGGGGGAGCTGGGGAATCCAAGGGCATGGTCGAAAAGACCGAGTGGGCAGGTGGCTGTGGCCCTGTGGTGGGGAGTAGAAATCAGCCAGGCCTCTGGGCCTTGGAGGGGTAGGATTCTGGGGGCGGCACAGTGAGGGGTAGATCCGAGGTGGTGCCTGAACCATGTGGCCAAGGCCAGTTGAGAAGAGGGGTCAACCCCATGTCCCCAGGGAGCCCTCGGGTGGGCAAGATCGTCATGGCTGCGGCCGCCAAGCACCTGACGCCCATCACGCTGGAGCTGGGGGGCAAGAACCCCTGCTACGTGGATGATGACTGCGACCCCCAGGCCGCGGCCAACCGCGTGGCCTTCTTCCGCTACTACAACACCGGCCAGACCTGCGTGGCCCCCGACTACATCCTCTGCAGCCCCGAAATGCAGGAGCGGCTGGTGCCCGCCCTGCAGAGCGCCATCACCCGGTTCTATGGCGAGGACCCCAGGAGCTCCCCGGACCTGGGCCGCATCGTCAGTGACAAGCATTTCCAGAGGCTCCAGGGCCTGCTGGGCTGTGGCCGTGTGGCCATCGGGGGCCAGAGTGACGGAAGTGACCGCTACATCGGTGAGTCCCGCTCTCCCGGCCACGGGACCCCCTGGCTAAGGCCCTTCCACACTGGAGGCCACAGCTGGGCCCAGATGGGCCCCGAGGTTCCCATGGCCCCACTGCTGGAGTCCAGCTGGGTCCATGGTCCTGGTGCCGCAATTCCACGGCACTGATGCCACGGGTCACTGTGGTCTGAGCCTGTGACCCCATGACTCCAAGGCCGGGCTTCCCTGAGCTGGGCCCCAGCATCCCAGAGCGCCCCAGTGCTCAGACTCCCAGCTTCCCTCCCGCCGTCCACTGCTCCATGGTGTGACCCAGGTCCCGTGGGCCCACAATTCCTGTCCCTAGTACCTGCCAGGCTGCTGTTACAAAGCAGCTCCAGGCCTCTGGGCCACACATCTCTGTGTAAAGTGACGCTGTCACTCCAACAGGCTGGGACCTGGGACCTTGGGCTCCAGGGGTCTGAGGTCCAGTCAGCCTCGTGACTGTAAGACCAAGGCTGGGGGTCCTCTGGGCCCTGGTTCCCGGTCACTTCTCGGGGGCCGTGGGGAGACTCTTCCCTAGAACCTCGCTGAGCCTGGAGCCCCGGGTCTGGGGCTGAGCTGAGCCCTGTGCCCGGCAGCCCCCACGGTGCTGGTGGACGTGCAGGAGACGGAGCCGGTGATGCAGGAGGAGATCTTCGGGCCCATCCTGCCCATTGTGAACGTGAGGAGCCTGGCCGAGGCCATTGACTTCATCAACCGCCGGGAGAAGCCCCTGGCCCTGTATGCCTTCTCCAACAGCCAACAGGTGGGGCTCGGGCAGGCCTGTGCAGCACAGCAGCTGACCGGGCGAAATGGTGACCTCCCTCTCACAGCCTGTCCTAACCCAGGTGGCCTGCACAAGGGCACCTGGCAGGGGAGGGCTCAGCATCAACACTGGCCCCGCGTGTGGCTGGTCAGCTCTCTACCCTGGCTGGGGCAGCCTCCACCCAGACAAAGAGTCCCTGCCTGGCGACGGTACCCCTTCCCCTAAGCCACGCAGAGCTTCTGTGAAGGGGAGCAGGACCCCCGTGGGAGTGGGGCAGAGAGAAGAAGCTGGGGTCTGACAGGCAGGCAGGCTCAGGGCAGCCCCTACCCTTTCAGCCTTGACTTCCAGCCACGGCCCTTCCATGGGGAACGTGCTGGAGAGGCAATGTCTGCTCAGTAGATGATGGAGACAGGGGCGTCTTCTCTGCTGCCCCCGGGATGGGAGGGGTCCACGCCCTGTTTCCTGCCCTCCTACCTGCCCCCAGGTGGTGAACCAGGTGCTGGACCAGACCAGCAGTGGCAACTTCGCGGGCAATGAGGGCTTCCTCTACATGACTCTGTTGTCCTTGCCTCTGGGGGGAGTCGGTGAGTCCCGCCCTCCTCCACCCTCTAGCCCCCACCCCTGAGAAGCCTGCATTGGTCCTTCAGACCCAGGAAGGCCCATTTTTGCCTTCACCCACTGTTCAACCTTGGTCCAGATCCCAGGCCTCTCAAGGCCTCAGTTTTCCCATCTGCAAAAAGGGCTCTTAGAATGAATGGCCTGGCTTTCCCTGTGGCCCCGGTCAGTGGTGGGCAAAGGACTGCTGCTGAGGCCGGGGGTGCTGCCCAGCCTCAGACCAGCACTCCCGTGCTCACACAGGCAACAGCGGGATGGGCAGGTACCACGGCAAGTTCTCCTTCGACACCTTCTCCCACCACCGCGCCTGCCTGCTCTCTTACCCAGGCCTGGACAAGCTGAAGCAGATCATCTACCCCCCCTATAGCGACCGGAAGAAGAAGCTGATGACATGGACCTTGAGCGACCATAGCTGCACCCTTCAGTGAGGGCCCTACCCCCAAAACCCTCTGTCTGACTGCTGCCCATGTGCTCAGTGGTCCCTGGGAGGCACTGACCCTGCCTAGGAATGCGAAGTTCCCGCTCAGGGATTTTTCTGAACAGTGTCCCTGCTGGACAGACCTCTGGGCTGCTGGGCTACCTCTCTCAGGGCCAGAGTCCCCTCTGCATTAGGGACAGAGAAGTCACCCCTCTCCCAAGGCTGAGTCCTGCGGTTAGAAAGGACTCCCTTGTATCAGATCCATAATTAGGCTCCCAAAATACGGAGCTATTTCTAACAGCTTCACTCACACCTATTTGGGGAGCTGGGTTTGTCTGACCTGAAGTAATTTGATCTTAAGCCCAGATCTGGTCATGCCTGAAATATGTAATTGCCAAGAACTATGTCTGATGCTGTGCATGCAATCAACAGGAAGGAGTGCAACAGTTGATTAGTGATGTCTGCTATAGGCACAGGGAGGGGCAGTGCCCACAGGGGGTCACAGCTGTCACCTCTGCTGTCACCTCCTAGAATATCAGAGCAGGCAGAGTCTAAATCTGGCCCCTTCGTCTGGCATGTGGGGAAACTGAGGGCTAGAGACAAGATGGGGCTGAACTGAGGAAGGCAGGGCAGAGCTGAGGGATGGTGGGCTTTCTTGAGAAATGTGGGGTGGGATCAATAAACAGAAGCTACCTGGTCAGTTGCGGCAGCCTAGTTCTCTCTCCCCGCAGTCCTCAACCTGGGAGCCCAATCCCTCTAGTCTTGCTTTGGTGGGCTTCTCACCCCTCAGAGCCTGGGTTAGTGGCCTGAAGTTGGGGGAATAAGAGGGAGTATGACCCTCCTGCTCCCCCGGGAGTTGTTGGGGATAGTCGTCTCCAAAAGGGTACAGGGTGGGCTCAAAAGAGGTGCCTAATGAGCTCGTTGATGAGTGAAGAAAAGAATGATTAAGGAAGGGAGATGGATGTATGGGAGGATGGATGGATGGATGGATGGATGGAAGGAAGGATGAATGGAAGGATAGATGGGCGGATGGATGGATGGATAGATGGATGGATGGATGGATGGATGGATGGGTGGATGGATGGGTGGGTGGAAGGATGGATGGTGGATGGATGGATGGATGGATGGATGGATGGATGGATGGGTGGATGGGTGGATGGATGGATGGATGGATGGATGGGTGGAAGGATGGATGGGTGGAAGGACAAGTGAATGGATGAATGAGGTGATGGACAGTTGGTTAGGTGGATGAATGAACTGATGCGTGGGCAGGTGGCCCAGGTAGAAGCTAAGTGATCACTGGACCTGGGTCTAAGAGATCCCATTCTGGCCCTGGAAGTTCTTCCTCAAAATGACCACTGGGCTGGAAAGAGAGAGTGCCAGAGGGGCTGAGAAGAATCAGGGTGTCCGGGCCACAGTCTGGGCAGTGGGTTCAGTGAACAAAGAATAGAAGATACTGCTCACGGAAGACTCTGGCAGTTTCGCTGCCCTCACCACACCTGACATGGTTCCCTCTGCTCTCAGCATCCACCGGTTGCTGTGGCGCACATGGGGCACAGTCTGCAAAGGAAATGCGGCCCTGGGAGAGGCCCCTGGAGGTGGGGTGGGCAGGGCAGTCCCAGAGTGCCAGACTCCCGGTGGCCCCTGACTGGCAGAGCAGGGTCTTGTGACTGCGTCCGGGCTGCAGAGGAGGCTGTTCAAGAGAGGCTGCAAATGTGACGAGTGCCTCCTTCACTGTCTCCTCGCCAGTTCTGGCCCTTTTGTTTCAGTCCCGGCGGACCAGCTCAGTCCTGGAGACAGTGCGCCCCGGTCCCAGTACGAAGCCTGTCCTGGTTTTCACGCCCCAGCACGCGGGTTCGAGAGCCTCCAGCCCCTCCAGGCTTTTGCTGAGCTGCCCTCTCCTCCCACTTCTCCCTCATTCCCGCCTCTTCCCGCTCCCTGCACCGCCCCTCCCAGGAATCCAGCTCAAATTCCAGACTGGCCTCCGTGGCCCTGGCTCACACAGCACCCCACGCTTCCTTGCCACAGCTCCACCACCAGGAGGACAGCGTGGGTGCAGAGTGCTGCACTGCTACTTGGGACTGGGTGGCTTTGGGCAAGTCCCATTACTTCTCTGAGCCTCTGTTTTTTGAGCTTGTAGAATGGGGTTCCCACCTGCCTCTTACAGTCACTGTGAGGGCGCAACCCGAGTACGTGTGTCTGGCCTGGGTCCCCACTCCGGGAGGCGGTGGGGACCACTGAGCCAGCATCAGGCACAGAGGCCCTGGCTGCAGGGGGGGCACCACCGCACACCTCCTACAGCCTCCCGGGGCCCGCCACAGCCTCGAGATGTGCAGGAGGGGCCTCTCCTTGACCGGCAGTCACGGGGTTCTCCTGCCCGAGGCTTGGGGGCCATCCCAGGGTTTCTTAGGGCTCAGGGGTCGGCTTCAGCCATCGGTGCTGACTCCACTGTGGTCACTGACCATAATCCAGAATGGGCCAGTAAGAGAAACTACAGCCCCGGCCAGGTGGCTCTGCTGGTTGGACCATCGTCCTGGAACCGAAGGGTTGTGGGTTCAGTTCTCTGTCAGGGCACTTGCCTGGGTTGATCCCTGGTCTGGACTCGGGTGCGTGCGACCCCTGACCTGGATGCACACAACCCCCAGTCCGCCCCAATCCCCAGTCCCGGTGCACCCGGGAGACGATGGTTCGTGCTTCTCACGTGGTGTATCTCTTTCTCCCTTGCTCTCTGAAGCGATGAGGAAAAGAAAATATCCTCAAGTGAGGATTAAAAAAAGAAAAGAAAAGAAAACTAGGATATGGGTGAGCCCTCCTCCCACCCACCCCCAGCCCTCCCTCCCCTGGACACCAGCTGGAGGAGTGGGCAAGGCGGTGTGGGGGGGGGGGCGCTGGGATGAAGGCACCGGCTGTGATGAGGACCCGTGATAGGACAGCAGGATGGGGGTGCACAGAGGCCAGAGTGGGGTTAGAGCTGGCTGAGGGTGGTGGGCGGTCAGGTGGGGGCTCCAAAGCCACGGGGCAGGGGTCCTTAGGACTGGCTCCCAGGTTGTGTGACTCTCCTGGGTCAAGCCTTACAAATGTGTGGGTTGCCTCAGGTTCTGACCCCTCTCTGGGCCTCAGTTTTCCCAACTGCAGCGAAGACGTTGGACCCGTTGCGATGCCTCTGCCCTCAGTCATGCCAGGGTCGGCTGCGTGTGCACCCGGTTCCGGGCTCCGGCTGCCCCTCTCGCCCTCCCTCCTCACACCGTGGAGGCTGCCCCAGGGCCAGGACAGGGCCTAGGCCCGGACAGCTGACTCTCCCCAAGTCACGCAGCCTCCAGGGACAGGCGTCATAGCCCAGGGGGCCCAGTGACCCCTCCACTGCCTGGGGCTCAGCGGTGGGGCTCAGCGGGACACCTCCTCGCTGCTGTGACAGGTGTCCGGGACACAGAGGTGAACACACAGTCCTCAGGCTCACACACACACGTGCACACACGTGCCCTTGGTCTGGTTTGGGGGCTGCTGTTTCTGGGAGCTCTGCGCCAGCTCCTAGACTCCCTTCCATTCTACAAACACCTCCTGAAATGCGGAATGTAAACCCCCATCAAGGGAGGGAAACTTTCCAGGACCCCCTCAGAGTTGGGGGCCCAGCACCCCCTCACAGGAAGCACCCTGCCCCCAGGAACCCCCCAAATAGGTCTGCCAAGCAGGCCCTTCCTTCCCCTCCCCCACCCCCACCGGAAGCCCAGCCCCGAGTCAGCAGAACCTCAGCAGAGCTGGGTGGCCTCCTTCCTCCCATGGTTCCTGACTCCACGAAGGCCCCCGAGGCCCCTGCCCAGAGTGCGCAGGGAGCAGGGACTAGGAGAGAGGCAGACACAGGCTCGCCCGCTGACCCCTCCACCGGCCTCGGGCCGGTCCTTCCACCTCCTGGAGTCCAGGTTTGATCGTGAACCAATCAGCTGCCCACCAGACCCCAGGAAGGGGCCCCGTCTGCCACCCCACGAGCTACCAGGGTGTCTTGACCCGTGGTGACCCAGTTCCGCACGTCATCACCCCCACTGCCCTGGTGGGAGCCACGATCCCGAGATTCAGGGTGGCAGACAGGAGGGCGGAGGCAGACCCAGGCCCCAGCACGAGCTGAGTGTGACCCAGCGGCGGCAAAGAGAAACGGCCTGGAGCCCCGGCCACTGGATCCCCCGGCTGGTGGGCCTGGTTCCGGCCAGGGCGGGGCAGCCTGGGCGGACTGAGTCCGGAGGTGAGGGAGGCCTGGGATGCCTGGCTCAGCAGGCACCGGGTGACCGGGCTGGCTGGTTGGCTGCCCAGCTCTGCCTTGCTCCTCAGCGACCTGGGGACCATCCTCGAGGCTGTGACAGGGCCCCAGGAGGCTGTGGGAAGTGTGCAGCCATGAGCCCCCTGCAGCCAGGACCCCTGTGCCCAACGCTGGCTCAGCTCATAGAAGAGCCTGAAATCCGCTGCGCCTCCCCCACCCCGAGTGGGGACTCGGGCCAGACGCTCGTGCTCTCGTTGAGCCCTCACAGCAACCGACTCTTGTCGAGTTACACCTGTCGCTCTGGGGGCTGCAAGGGCAGAAGCAGGTGGCTGAGATGGCCGAGGGAGCTGGGCTTTCCTCATCCGGGTGGCCGCCGAGGCACAGGCTCAGTGAGGAACTTGCAGTGGTTGGGTCTGGTGGTGGCCCTGGGCTCAGCCAGCGGCTCGAACGAGGGCAGCAGTCCAGGCCTGCCCGCCCTGGACTGGACACTAGTGAAGTAAACAGGCCTAACTTGGCAGCCCTCTGGGGCTCTCTCGGGAGGCGGGGCTCACTTCATCCCAGGTCTCAAAGACTCCCTGAACGTAAATTTCCACGACTTTGTGCAGCTCGCAGCTGGGACCCCACCCTGGCTCTGGGGGGCGGGGCTGCCCCAGAGGACAGAGGGCTGCAGGACCTGAGTCAGTGGGCAGTGGCAGCGACCAGGGCAACGTGGTTTGCACGGGGTGGGGACATCCTGAGCTCCTGACCTCTGGCTGGAACTCAGCCTGCACCACCCACCCCTGCTCTCCGCCAGCCATTCACGAATGCTTCCCACCTGGGTTCCCCAGGTGCATACACACCTGCCAGTCTAGGCCCAGGAAGCTGGGACGCCCACCAGCAGGGAAGCGCCTGTTTCCGCAGTCTGCTTGGGCTCAGAGGAGCACGTGGGAGGGGCAGAAGGAGCAGGAGTCGCCAGGCACCCTGACACTTCACGGCTGATGCAGGTGACGCTCCCTGCCCCCACGCAGCACCCGGGGTTCCCCGTTTATGACGAGGGAGCACAATCCTCTTGCCGTCGGGAGTGTGCCCCGGGAATCCATCGCCCCCAATGTCTGGGCCCCTCTTCTCAACTCAGGGGAAAGCCACTCCTCGCCAAGGGAGCAGGAAATTGGCCCGGGAGAAAGTGGGGGGGGGGGCGGTGCTTCCCCTCCCAGGAGGGGTATTGGTGGGGAAGGGCTGCAGGCACCAGGAAGGACACCCCTGGAGCTGCACCGCTGGAGGTGCAGTGGACTCAGCTGAGTGACCACGCAGCCACATCTTTTGACAGGCAGCGGACCTGCCAGCTCAGACCCATTAGGCCTCAAGGAGCTCACTGCTGCCATCCCAGCCCAGAGCACTGGGCCCCACGTGGGTGCCAACCAGGCCCCACACCGCAGCCCAGGGTGCGCTCACTGTCTGTGCCTCAGGAGCCCCTGCGCCGCATGGCAGTGGCCAGGGGCACCCACAGCAAAAGATGTTGGGCATCTACCTGGCCCGGTCCTGGCTGCAGGCCCCGGGGCAGCTGCAGAGGCCCAGCTTCTCTGCCATGCCGGTGCTGGCTAGCCCAGCAGCCACGGCAGCCTGCCGCCGCTATGTGGGCTGTCACCTCAACCGCACCTTCACCAGCACCTTCCTCACGTGAGTGTCCTTGCCGCTGCGGGACCCCTGCCCACCAGGCTGGCCCAGCCCCTTGGACTGGCACTGAGGTCCTCACCTCAGACTCCCCCTCCAGCCACTAGCAGGGCATATCCCTGTGCTTTCACTGCCCATCCTTCCTTTTTCAATGTAAAGAAATCCGCACTGATGTCACCTCCTCCAGGAAGCCCTTCCTGATCTCAAACTAGGTCAGGGCCTCCTCTGGACTCCCAGCACCTTGCTTTAGATCATCCCCACAAGCAGCATTTACTCGTCTGGTGCCCCAACCACTGTTTCACGCCTTCCTTTAACGGGTATTGCTGAGTCTCATCTCTGAGCCAGGCTCTGGCCAGCTTGGGTAAGAGAACGGGAAGTTGAACTGAGGCGTTGGTCTCAGCTTACTAGGGGAGACAGAGGAGGAACCCAGCAACCACAACGCTAAATGCAGGGTGGGGGCTACACAACCCTGACCAAGGGTACTCAGGGAAGGCTTCCTGGAGGAGGTGGTAACTCAGCCAAGCCCCAAAGGGTGAGTAGAAGTTAACCAGGCAAAGAGAGGTGACAAGGAGTTTCCAGGGAAGGGCTGGCAGGTGCGCAGCTCTGGAAGTGAGACCAGCATGGTGCTTGGAAGTGTGGCCGAAGTGAGAGCTGATGAGGCAGGCAGGGCCAGGCCAAGGTTTGAACTTTCCGGGGGCGGTGGGGAGCCAACAAGAGCGCCCAGTGTGGCAGGCGTGCTGCAGAGCTGTGAGGGACGGGCCCTGAGGCTGCTCTGTCTCTCCCACAGGGTCCCGGGCTTCACCCTGTCAGCCCGTGAGGCCCCCTCCATTCCCCCCAGTAAACCTCTGAGGATGGACTGAGACCCTCCCTCATCCCTGACCTGCAGTGCCAGGCCTCACCCAGATGACCCGTAGGAGGTGACAAGAGCCCGAAAGCTGAATCATTTGCTGGGGTCCAAGGCCTCAGGCCAGGCCTTTGATTTCATCCTCGACCTGCACAACACCACGGCCAACATGGGCACCTGCCTCGTCCTGGGAGCCGCCCACAGTGTCTTTGCCATGCACCTGTGCCGCCACCTGCAGGATGCCCTGTGCTCGTGCAGGCGAGGGGCAGTGGGGCTGGCACCTCTGCTGGGGACTGGTGGGGGGTGTGTCCTGGGCTCCAGTCCTGGGAACCTGCCACCTGCAGGTGCTCCAGGCCATCTGGACCTGCCCACCCCTCCCCACGTGGTGTTCTGTGCTTCTTCCATGCTCCCATCCCTCCCCCCAGTCCTCCTCCCCACCCGCCAAAGGCAGGCCTAGGCCCTGACCCAGCCCTCTGCTCGCAGCTGCAGAGCCCGAAGCTGTCCTGCCAGGTCTTCCTGTACCAGTTGCCTGGAGAAGAGTTACAGCGTCCACTCTGTGGCCAAGAACGGAATGGGTGGGCCCGGCCAGACCTCAGCTTCAGGAGAAGTCATCAGAGGCCGGGGAGGGCAGGGCCAGATGATGGGCAGTGTCAGGGGCCTGGGGTCTGGAGCCCCTCCTCTCTGGAGTACCTGCCTGACCCCTTCCCTCCTGGTCCCCAGGCCTGGAGCTTGGTCCCCAGCCTCAGGGGGTGCTGCTACGGGCTGACCTTTTCACCAGGGTGAACTGACTTCATTGAGCAGTTCAACCAGGGTGAGACCCCCCAAGGATTTGCCTGGAAACTAAGAACCAAAGAGGAGAGGGCCCACCCCAGGGACCAAGGAGCCAGGCTCTTGGGCCGGCTGGGAACCAGCCCCATGTGGACCCCGCGGCCCACTCCACCCTGGGCCTCATGGGAGGGAAGGGCTCACGCACCAGCGTCCTGCCTGGGCACAGCCTTCCCTGCCTTTGAGATGGAGGTGCACAGAAACGTGGTCAGTGTGGGTGTCCCACGCACTGAGGCCAGGGACCTGGCCGGCACTGTGCACCCTCAGCTGCAGGGGTGTGTGTGTGTGTGTGTGTGTGTGTGTGTGTGTGTGTGTGATGGGGTGTGGACTCCTAGGCCACAGCCTTGGGGGGTGTTGGAAAAAGGCACAGAGGCAGGGACCACCGTGCCGCCCATGGAGTCACACCAGCACCTCGGAATCAGGAGCAGGGGTGCAGCAGCCTGGGCGCCCGTGCCCACCCACACTGTCTCTGTAGGGACCCTGCACTGCGACCTGGAACCCTACCCTGGGCCACCATGATGCTCACAGCACCTGCGGAGGGCACCCGAGGGCGTCTCGACAGTCCGGACACACTCTTCCTGGCTGCAGGAGACAGAGGGTGGGCAGGGGGGAGGGTGGAGCAGGCACAGCCCTGCTTGGAGGTGCAGAAACAGAGCCCTCCATACTCCGAGCAACTCCTAGAGCACCCCTATGCACGTTAGCGGGAAGTCCGACACCTCCCCCTCCAGACCTCCGCTTCCTGAATGTTCCAGAAACTGGGTACTCCTGCTCCTGATCGTGGCAGGAAGGAGGTAGGAAAGAATGGGCAGCAAATCAGCTGCCTTTCTGCTTGCTGCCACATGGGGCCGCTGTGAAACAAGCCCCCCACCTCACCCCACCCCATCCCATCCTTAGCAGCAGTGCCCAAGTTGGGCGCTTTAGCCTCATTAGTAACTTTCCCAAGCCTGGAATCTGGCCTTCAGAGGTGAGAGGAGCTTCAGCGGGGCCACCTGTTCTGTTGGCTCAGCCCCTCCTCACCCCACCTCAAAGCTCAGCAGCTGAGCCCAGTGACCAGCCAGAAGCACCCCCTTCCATGATGAGTCTTTGTGGGCCACCCCCCGATGTCAGAGGTTACCGAGTCATTCTGACCCTCTGCATGGACACGGAGGGTGTTGGTCTCGCGGACCTCCACCTCCCTTGGGCCAACGGGCCTGGCACGTGCTGAGGGCACAGTGGACGTGGTCACAGAAAGGGGGTGAATGGCAGGAACAGCGTGACATTTCAGAACTGCCCTGAAGGACCGAAGTAGCAACTGTAGGAAAAACCAGAACTTGGGCCTCTCGCTGTGACTGCAGCACCGTGTTGTACTTGGAGGTGCTATCTCGTAGCAGTACTGGGGGGGCTCCATCTTCTCTGGGTTTGGGCCCGAGGGCCTTACGCTCCCGCCCGTCTGCCTTGCAGTCATTTTGAGTTATTTCTTTCACAATTTAAACACTTATTTAGTAAACTTTTCTATTGTATTCACTAACTGCCAGGTGCTGTTTTAAGCACCATTAGCCATTTAATTTCAACCTCAGGATGATAGAGGGAGAGAGTATAACCCCCGTTTTACAGATGGGGAAGCTGAGGCATGGAGAGGGTGAGTGACCTGCTCCAGGCCACACAGCTAGTAGGAGCCCAGCCTTCCTTCACGGTCTGTGCCCGTCACTACTAGGCTTTGCTTCCCAATGACGAATGTCTTTCTAAGGGGACTGGAGTCTCGGTTTCCAGACACAGGGCCAGGCGACGTCTCAGTGGACACCCTCTCACGTTGACTGAAGAAGTGAAGGAGTGATTGGGCGAGGCCCTAAGTGAGGGGCATCTCTTGGGCGGCCCCCGCTGGGGTTCCCCTCTGGGGCTGGAGCAGAGGTCGGCCTCAGCCCCCAAGGCCTTGGGCTCCCCTCCCAGGACTGAGACTACGAGCCGCAGCAGCCCGGTGCTCCCATCTTCCAGATGCTCAGTGGCGAGGACCAGCTCTGTGAGGGGGAGTCCACCGTGTACCCCGTGTTCACCAGCGAGGCTGCCTACCACGAGAAGGGCATGGCCTCCCTCCGGACTGAGAAGCTCACGCTCTCTGCGCCTGCCCTGCCTGCAATGGCCCCGCCCCAGCCCCCTAACCCAGGCCATGCCCACCTCCCCTCTGAACAGTGGGTCCTGAGGCCCAACCCCCAGCTCAGGGGTCCCCTTTGCCACTGGCTATATGCCCTGATTCGTGCCAAGCCCCCCACCTCCGTGCCTGAGTTTCCCATTCTACAAAGTGGAAGATGTCCAGGGATCTGTGGTTGGTGTCCTCTGTCCCGTGTGGCCTGTCTCTGCAGCCACGGCCTCTGGGGCGAGTCTGGACATCCTGTGTCCTGGCGCCGGGTGGCTGCCTCTGTGCCCAGGCTTGTCCAGGGAAGACCCTGTGCTGCGGGGAAACTTTGAGAAAGACTGTCCTCAGGCCAGCGGTGCAGCTTCCAGGGACAATGAATGACCGGAGAGGGCCCCATCTCCCACACTCCTGGTGCCTGTGAGTAGACGGGACAGCAGAAGTGTGTGCCCGCTGTGTGCACGTGTGTGGGTGCCCCTGCCTGTGCCTGTCCCAGGTGCCGGGTGTGCGCTCGCACACGTGCTTCCGAGAGCCTCGGCCCCCTCTGGGGGCGGCCTATGTGTGGTTGGGCGCACAGGCCGATGTGCATCTCTGGGTGCGCGATGAGCCCCGCGCCCGTGGGAGCTCAGGGGGAGTCAGCACCAGGGAAGGGGTGCAGCTCGACAGAGCTCCCTCCACCCAGGACAGCAGGTCCAGTGCAGGGACACAGCGGGAGGTGCATTGGCTTGGGGTGGGGGAGCTCCTACCAGGGAGGCAGGGGTTCTTCCCATGTTGCGGTTGGGGGAGGAGTGGGCCCAGGGTCTACTTCTGGGGTCCCTCGGTCCAGCCTGTGCAAGGTGACCCCAGCAGGGCAGAAGTGGGCAGGGTGGGTGGGGCCCGAGGGCAGCCCCACGCCACCCGAGCCCGGCAGGGCGGAGTCCCTGGCTGACAGCCACGACCCCCAGAGCCCGCCTGGCCCATCATCCATCTCCCTGTGGCCACAGCTGCCACGCCGCCTCCTGCTATTGAGCATCGAGATGAAAAGGTGTGAAAGATACAGGGACACCAGGGACAGGCTGGCAGGAAAGATGGATGAGGGGGCAGGGGGCCAGCAGGTGCCTCCGGCAGGAAGGGCTGGCCAGCCGGGAGGGGCCGGGCAGGGAGGCATGTCTGTGTGCCTGCTGTGTGCGTGGGGTGTGTGTGAGCATGTGTGTCTGTGCACATGGAGCCTGTGCACATGCAAACATGAGTGGTGGCAGTTTGGCACATGTGTGCATGTGGGTTGACATGTCAGTGTGGTCATGTGCACGTGTGGGGGTGTTCCATCGCGCACACACACACACACACAAGAGCCAACAGAACCCCAGGCGGGCCCACCTGGCAGGTCTGGGCTGAGAGGGCGCTATCAGGCCCCTTCATCATCTCTCCCACCCCCCACTCACCCGCCCACTGCAGATCCTGGGACAGGGTGGCCCGTCCATACCTCACTGGGTGGTCCCTGGGTGCCGCTGGGACCCTCCATCACAAGCACAGAGAACCTCCCCCCCCAGTCTTGCCCAGCAGCAAACCCCAGAGCTGGTGCAGCCTTCCCCACAGGGCTGGTCATGGTGGGTGCCCGGGCCGGCCCACCTTCTCCCAGCGGGACAGCCCACAGCCCCGGCTCCACGGGCAGGCGCTGTGGCAATAGGCGTGCCTGAGCTGAGGGAGGCGTGAGGCTCTGGGAGGGGAATCCACTCCCACCGCTGGCCCCTCTGCACCCCTCTGAGGTCGGCCCCCTCTGCCAAACCCACATACCCAGTGCCAGACTCTGGTGGAGGTGGGGGCCGTCGGGGTCGAGCTGGGACCTGGGTCAAGCACACCCAACCCAGCCTGAGGTGCTCTGGCCTCCTGTGGGGGCCAGCCTGGGAGGCTCCCTGCAGAGTGGGCCAGCTCAGGTCCAGGCAGCTGACCCTCTCCGGGCCATGCGGAAGGGATCAAATGGCCAAACAACTCTCAAATGAGAGAAACCAGCTTTGGGGGACCCCACGCCCCCTGCCTTCCTGAACAGGGGTCTGCAGGTGCCCTGAATGCCCAGCACAGGGCCAGCAGGGGGCAGCCTGGAGACATTGCCTGGTCTGGCTGGAAAGAATAGGCAAACTGGGGGACAGAGCAGACACCCACCCCAGCGGCCTCTGACCTCCTCTTCAGGGAGCTGTGGCAGCTTTCTCAACCAGAAGGGGGCCAGCTTACTGCCGTCCAGGCTGGGCCAGCCCGTCCCAGGCAGAAGAGATTATGCACTTAGTTCAGTTGGGGAAACCGAGGCACAGGGACTGTCAGGGACCTGCCGGCGCAGCACAGCTCCTTGGACCAGGCCATCTGGGGGCTTTGACTCCACCCACTGTGCCACCGCCGCTGCCCCTGGGGTTCTGCACCCGCAGCCCCAGGCCAGGGGCTGGGTCCCCGTGAGAGCCACCTCTGCCCTTCTGCCCTCATGCCGCTGCTACTGCTGTGGCCACCCCAGCCTCCCTGAGGCCCCACTGGCCCCCAGCCCCTCCAGTCACCAGGCCTGGGCTCCTGCAGACCACCCAGCCTGTCCTCAAAGGGGCCCCCACCCTTGGCCAGGCCCATTGATCAGGAATGGCTGGGGGACTGCTAGCTGGGGAAGGGAGGGAGCCGAGGGGGACCGGGAGGGGCAGAGGGAGGCTTTGCGACGTCATGGCCTTCCCACCTGCCCCCCTCCCGCCCAGCAGGAGCAGGACGAGCCTGGCAGTGGCCTCAGACAGTGCAGTGTGAAGGTGGCTTGGAGAGGGGACCCTGTACAGCCCAGAGCCAGGGTCCCTCCTGCAGGAGCCCAGGAGGACAACCCAGACCTGAGCCGTCGGGGAAGGAGGACAGTCCTACCCAGAGACTGGGGCGGAGTGAGCCCCTGGGAGGCAGCTGTGCTGCGGAGCACACGGAGGGACCAGGAGCGGCTGACCGCCACCCACGCCCTGCGCCCCCTCCCACGGCAGGTGGGGCCCAGGCTGAGCAGGGCTGCTCCAGGAGCTGAACACCCAGGCTGTCCCCATGTCAGGTACGGTGCTGGCAGCCAGGGCGGCCCCTGGGTGGGCTCGGGCTCCGGGGAGAATGGGACAGAGCAGGAGCTGGGTGTGGGGAGCGAGGAAGCCTCGCTGCACCCAGGCCCCGGGCCACGGGTGAGGCGGGGGCCCCCAGGCTGTCAGGGCGGGGCAGTGGGATCACAGCCACCCAGGCGCAACGATGGGGTGCTGACAGGCAGGGGACAGCGCCTGTCCTGGGAGGTGAAAACCTTATCAGACGTGAGCGGCCCGGGGCCTGTCCCCTCCCTTCTCTGGACCTCGCCCCTGAGGATCAGGGTGAGGGGTGGGCAAGAAGCCTCTCACATTCCCTCCAGACCTGACCCCAGGCTTGTGGAGATTGTCATCTCCTGGCCCCGAGGGGCGCTGGCTTTTAGAAAAACTGGGCAGCGGACAGCTCCTTCCCAGAGTTCCTGTGGGTGCCGAGGGGTGGCATGTTGACTGGAACCGGCAGGGGGCTCGTCACAGACTTGGGAGCCAGTGACGGTGACCAGCGGGTGAAGCCCCCATGTGCAGCAATGCCAGGAGCTTCTCCCCTTGGGACTCACAACCATGGACACCGGGGGCTGGATGTTGTGCCTGCAGCTGCCCACCCGATGGCCAGGTCCCCAACGCAGGAGGACATCTGCCTGTCCATCCTTCTGGCCCCAGGGAGGGGAACAGACCTGATGCACCCCATCTCTCTCAGAGGGTCCCTTCCCACCCCCCAGAGCCCAGAAATGCCAGCGGCTTTAGCGAGGGGCCCCTTCTGCAGTGCGGCCCTGGGCCCCACACTGTCCCCGGTTCCTGCTTAGTGCAGGCTCCGGCCAGGCCCACCAGACGCGCCCTCCACTCACCTGCCTGTCCATCTGTCCATCTGTCCATCCCACACCGACGCTCTGCCTCTGCCCAGGCCTTCAGCTCCTCCTGGGGCTGCCTGAAATTAATCGCGTTTTTCTGGAATTTTTTCCAATTAAAAAAATTTTAGTTGTGTAAAATACACATAACAAGAATTCCCACTGTAACCATTTTTAAGTGCCTCACTCAGCATCATTAAGCACATTCACACCATTGTGCAGGTGCCGCCTCCAGTACGTTCCTGCAAAACCGAAACTCTGTTCCTATTCAACGGCCACCCCCGCCCCCAGCTCCCTGCTCCCACGGGCTTACCCCCCAGGACACTGTCCTCTGGGCCCAGCCACGTCAGAATGTCCTTTTTGAGGCTGAACGAGAAGGAATAATGTGTCCAGGTGGACCGCATTTTGTTTATCCAGTTGTCCATGGGGGGCCACGTGGGCTGCTCCCCCCTCTGCCCGTGGCCACCACGACCGCGGGTGGACGTGCAGGTGTCTGTTCAGGTCGCTGCTCCCAATTCTTTTGGGTCTCTTCTTAGAAGTAAAGCTGTTGGGTCATACGATAATTCTAAGTTTAATTTTAAAAAAGGATTCTACTTATTTATTTCTAGAGAGAGAGAAAGAGAGGGAGAGAAACATGGATGTGAGCAACAAACATCCATCGGTTGCCTCCGGATGTGCCCCAGCAGCAGGGGTTGGGGCGGGGGACCAAACCCGTGACCCTTCACTTTGCGGGGGGCGGGGGGGCGGGGGGGCACGCCCAACCAACTGAGCCGCGCTGGTCCGGGCGGGACTTTCTCCCTTTTCTTTAACAAGAAGGGTGGAGGGTAGCAAAGCTCTTGGCCAAGGCTTATTTCAAGATTACAGATCAGAAGGCAGGGTCCCGAGAAAAACTGAGGCAGCTGAGCAGAAAGCTGGCTCTGGGAGGCAGAACTTGGGCCAGTTTTCCAGGTCACAGCAGGACAAGAGAAATTCATGGAAATCTGGGGGGTCTCCTCTCAGCTCAACTCTCCTTAAGCAGGACCAGGCAGTGGGGTCTCCACAGAGCTGAGAAAGACCCCCACTCAACCACCACAATCCCACATGTCTGTGTCTATAATACGGGTCATTTGTGCAAGGCCTACTGTGTGCAAGGCCTACCATGCGCCAGGCCCTGGGCACGTCCTCCTGATTCCTCCCACCAGCCTTCGTGATGGATGTAGGAACTCAGGCTCAGGGAGGCGCAAGGCCCCAGCGCCACCTGGTGGGGGTGGCGCTTATGGATTCCCTGGGGAGCCAGACAGGCCTGGTCTCCGGCCCCCAGGTGCTTCGAGTGAGCATTTACTGCAGGAGGTGACGCCGAGTCACGTTAGCTGTGGGAACACGGGCCTGGCGTTCAGGGAGCACTTCCGGGAGGAAGGCGCCCGGGTGCAGCCTGAAGGACGAGGGCTGGTGGGGTGGAGTGGGGGTCGGGAGGCGAGCAGGGGCCCACGGTTCTGTCCTCTCTCCCCAGCCTTCCTCTCGGCCGGCCTTGGGGTACTGGTACCCTCGGAGACCTGCACCCTACCCATGACTAGCTCCAGCTGGGAGTCCAGGCTGGTTTCTTCGTTCCCATTGGGCCCCACCCCTGGCTCTGCAGGGACCCAAGCCGTGGGCGAACCTGCCGGGCAGGGCCCCAAGAACCCGCATGTGTCCAGTGTGACGGTCCAGCTGGAGATGAAGGCTCTGTGGGAGGAGTTCAACCAGCTGGGCACGGAGATGATTGTCACCAAGGCAGGCAGGTGTGAGCAGCAGGTGGGGGGGTGTGTGCGTGGCGGGGGCGGGGGCTCGGTCGGGGCCAAATTCCGGATGCCGATGCCTCCGTCCGCAGGAGGATGTTCCCCACCTTCCAGGTGAAGATCCTGGGCATGGACTCGCTGGCGGACTACGCCCTGCTCATGGACTTTGTGCCCCTGGACGACAAGAGATACAGGTCTGGGGCCGCCAGGGGAAGTAGCTCCAACCTCAGGTGCTGAAATGAGAAAGCCGACCCCTAGAGGCACCCCCGGGAGGCAGGGGACAGTCGGAGCCACCTCCCTCTGGGAGGCCTATACCGGGCAACAGTGGGGAGCCTGGTGGTAGAGGGAGCCCAGCCCGAAGCAGC